GCGGGGGGCGGGGGGTGTTGCTGGCGACTGGATGGGTTTAGTGGGATCAGGGATTTGAGGGGACCAGAGGCTATTTTTAGCTCCCTGACCCCTTAAGGCAAACCTTCCCTCCTGCCTCTCCCCCCACTGATACTTACTTTCTCAGCTCCCAGCAGTGGTGAATGCTGATAAAACCAGCACCATGAGCAGCTTGTGTGATGCAGGGTTGGGGGTGGGGAGGCAAGCTGGCTGGTTTGAGGGAGGGGAGGAGGAGGGGCCTGAGGGAGCTGGGATGGGCTTTCCCACCTTTTGGGCTGCGTATGTAACTGTACAGAAGTTCAATGCACTGGTCTAACTTAGATCAATTTGAGTGTATTTCAGTCCGGGTCTCTCTTAGACTGTGTTCCACCATTTATAAATCAGTCTCTGGGTGTGAAACTTCTGTATAAGTACAGGTTTAGCCTGATTTCCAGTCACTGAGCCTGGGTTTCAGTGTAAGGCCCACACCTGGGTGAAGTAATTTAGATTTGGGAGGCCATTTTTAACCTGATTCAACCTCCTTGAATGTCTGCACTTAGCCAAAAAATCTAACTGCTTTTAAAGAAGTTTATGAAAAGTGTTATTCTTGTTGCATCTTGGACACTAGATTGATAAATTACTGGTTAAGCAGTAAAATGCCATCACTCCTGTAAACGCTTGACCTGTATTTATCAGTAGGAGCAAACCTAACTTTGATTATATGTAGAAGTGCTGCTGCTTCTTCTGTGCCAAATTAATAGATTCTTAGATTGTAGAGTTGGAAGGGACCACAAAGGATCATCGTGTTTGACCCCCTGCCCCTGGCAGGAAAGAGGACTGAGGTCAGATGACCCTAGCCAGGTGACTATCAAACCTCCTCTTGAAGACCTCCAAGAGAGGTGGTACTATCACCTAACTTGGAAGCCCCTTCCAGATTCTGGCCACCCTTACTGTAAACATTTTTTCCCTAATGTCTAACCTGAGTCTACTGTCTACTAGTTTGTACCCATTGTTCCTAGTTACTCCTAGGGGTGCTCTGGTAAATAGCACTCTCCAATTCCCTGTTTTAAAAGTTTTAAATCTGAGCTTTATATCCACATGTGTCTGAAACTCCCAAGAAATCCTTGTTTAAATCATTTTGGAGTGAAGGTTCTTTGCTGATGAATAGGTAGGGGTATCTGTAGGCAGTTTTATTTTGTTCTTGTTCATCATAACACAGTTTAAAACATGCATATCAATAAGTGATAGGACAGTGAAAAAAGTAAGATTTTTGTACACAGAGGACACGTACCATAATTACGTTTGAATGACAGTAAGAATTGTGTGTTCTTACTGGGATTCAGAAGGATGCTGGAAAGGTGGAATTAAAGTGAAAATCAAACAGAGAGAGCAACATGCTAACCATGTTACCTGGAATCAAGAAAGAAGGAAGGAAATGCAGAATTGTGGAGGGATGTTACTTTTTTTTTTTTGCTTAATCTCAACTAGCACTCTCCTTTTTAATTCTTCAGATTTCTGCTCAAATAGAATTGCATTCCAATTAAGAAAACATACTTGCATTGATATAAAACATGTCATTTAGTCTTTCGTGTATATGCGCACGCATGCATACACACAGTTTAGAAACTGGTCTTGATCAGGAGTGGCCAAGTAAATCAGCTAGAATTCATGTTTGCTGTTCATGTTTGCTCCCTTACAGTCCTGAAAAGGTAGCATTGTTTGGGTGCTGTAATTCATTTTAAAGCTGGTATTAATTAGTTTCTTGCTGTTTGTTTCATTATGTAACTTGCATATTTTTATAATTTAATTTAGGAATATGAAGCACGAACAGGAAGAATGTGCAAGCCACCACTTCAGTCATCAAGACGAAAAAATATTGAATTTGAACCCCTTTCTACCACTGCTCTTATTCTGGAAGATAGACCATCGTAAGTACAGAAAGTAATTCTGCCATGGAGTAAATATATACACATGCCTAACAAATTGTAAATAGGACATTCAAGCTTCTTCCAAATATTACAGTAATCCAATTAAAACAGTCTTAAGACTGTAGCTATATTCACATGAAATCTTGGCCCTGTTAAAGTCAGTTGCTAAACTCTCTCATTTACCTTAAGGCCAGGATTCACATTGTTTATTCCATAGGGCCATTAGTTTGTTGCCTTTGACAGGTTCTTAGACATGCTCACTCAACAAATCTCAGTCTGTTGTAGATTTTCTCTTTATCCAAAACCCTGTTTCTCTACTGCTTGGTTTCCAAAATATATAATTTGCTGGATTGCTAAGGAGGACTCATCACCTGCAGCTGTTTATCTACTGGTCATATCAGTTAGTACAAAAGTCTAATTTGGGATCTGAAAAACAAACTAAACATGGCCATTGTGAAAATGTGCTTTCTGCATGAAATACAGGATGAAGACTCAATACTTCAGAATTATTTCTATACCAGGAAGATAACCTTTTGCCAGTAGAAAATAGTTTTCAGCAAATGACAATGTTGATTCCTTAAAATTGTTGTTGATCAGCCATGTGGTCTTCATGTAGAGAGCACAATCACTTTTAGTAGAGTTAGAGTAACAAAAATTGTTTGTGTGGTCTCTATGAATGACCAGACAGTGTTCAGCAGCAGTTTTGAGGTACCAGATGGGCCTCTTTCTGATAACCACTTTTAAGCAGCAAGTCATTTTCTGATGTAGCTAGACTATGTATACTCTTCCAAAGATTAAACCAATGCTTCTTAGCCAGGGTGCTGAGGTACCCTGGGTTGCCGCCAGGTACTTTTGAAGGGTCTGTGAGGTGTGAGGAGATAAGCTGAGACTAGCACAAGCTCAGGCTCTTTGCTTATCTGCTCCCCCACCTGTGCTTCCCTCACTTTTAAAAAGGGCTAATGCTCAGTTAACAAGTTTCAGAGAGGTGCCTTGAAGATGAAAAGGCTGAAAACCAGTGAATTAGACAGTTGGAACAAGTTTATTACGGTACTAAAGCACACATTGTGCATGGCATGTCCTGTTTTATAGTTGATTTCCCAAGGGTGTATAAATCTTGAGTTTTCTTCCACAGCCAGAGAGAACACTACAAATTTGCAATTCCACACCACTGAATAAGCTTGCCATACATCTAGGAGAGTATTTTAAATAGTGATACATTTACAAGGATACATAATGTGAAACTATATATAAATGCATCTTATTTTCATTGATGGTGAAACTACAAATTTATTTCATATTTTTTTGGTAGTAAGAATTAAAATAGCCAGGTGATAGATTTGACGAGGTTGTAGTAATATTTGAAATGCAAAGGAACTCCTAAGTCTCTTATAGAATTCAGAACAACAAAAAACGCACAGGCTGCACCTTTTATGAATTCTCTCAGATGTATGCTTTGTTTGGTATTCAACTTCAGCGTCTCACTGTGCAGCACTTCTATTTGGAAACTTCTGATTTTTCTATTCTTTGAAAATGTTAGAGGTCTTAATGAGTTTTGTCTCTGGAGTTGAAGGAGAGGTTCATTTTAGTACACCCATGAAACTGAGCCACAGCATAAATAATGTGAAGAAGAGTAGATGGTTAGAGACCAGATACCAAATGTTTACGTAGTATCTTCTAAGGCTGTGCAAAGCTTCGGTCGCAGATTCGATTTGGCGGCTGAATCTCTGAATCGAATTGGGGGACCCATTAATCTCTCCAAATCTAATCAGAAACCTCCAATTTGATTTGGAGAGACTCGACAATTTGGCCATAGACCGTTTTATATCGGGGGGCGTTCTACATACCTCAAGGTACCAGGTGGCTTGTGAATGCTGAGAAGGTGGGGGGGGATGGAGTGTCCCACAGGAGCATGGGGGCCCCTAAAAAATTTAGAAAATTTAATATTCATCTGCCCCTGGCTGCCTGTCACATGACCCTTGTTGGCTTGCCAAAACTCAGTAAGCGGCCCTCTGCCGAAAATAATTGCCCACCCTTGTGGTAGACCAACCCTTAGTGGATATTTTTGTACAAAAATGCTATTGCAGAAGGTGTTTGGGAACTTTAAAACTGGTGATTTCAATTTGGGTTGGGAGTGTCTCTTCTCTAAAGTTCGCTCTTCTACATGTTTTGCTTCCAGTTCTGGTTTAGTCAGGGACAACAAAGTTGAGCCAAGAAATGGTAAAGTAAATGTTTATGGATAAATAGCAAATTTCAGTAACTGTTGCTGACACTCAGCAAGTGATAGAAGCAGTAAGTTCACCTTAGAAAGGAAGAAATCAAATAGACTTTTTTTTTTTTAAATGGTTCAAAATGTCATTTGCATATTAGATTCAGGAACCCCTTGTTTTCAGAAATCTCCCTGCCAAATCCATAGAGGAGGCTTTACGTCATCGACAAGAATATGATGAAATGGTGGCAGAGGCAAAAAAACGAGGTATGTTAATTATGTTGGCTTTTAACTCTGTTGGGGAGGCGTATTTGGGGGTGGCAGTCTTGACCCAGGGACTTCGTTCCTGGCTGGTGGTATAAAGATCTCTCTCCAGTCCTGGTGGTTGTTTTGATGTACCATATTTCTGCACCTAGCTGCTGCTGCAGCACCATGGACTCTCCAGGAAGCCACCATTCTGGTACCCCCTCTAAGTGGGTGCTCAGAACTGGTGCAGTGCACCCCTACCCTTGTTATGCTAATGATTGAAGGCATAAACCTCTTTTTCTTGCTCTTGCATTCTCCAATGTTATTGTTAATGTTCAATCATCCCAACAAATATTCATTCTAAATATATGATCTCTTTGTTTTCGAGCAGATGAGCTGTTTGTAGAAAGCCTTTTTTGAGATGTTACTGCTAATATTGTGTTATGGCACGTTTGTATTGCATCAAATTATATAAACATTGGCTCTACTCACCTACTTATAGTATATAATGGTCACACAAGGCACTTTCCCTTGCAGTAGCATCAAATGCTGTCAATCAGAATTGGTGTATTGGGCTGCGAGTGGCTGCAGCATGGTGCGCTAGCCATGGGGTAGGGGAGGGGCTGCTTTTCCCTTGCACTCAGCACCAGTTTGTAACCTGCCCCTGCTGCCAGCTTGGTCCCGCACCAAGCACCATGCACAGTCCCGTTGGGGCTGTGCATGGCAGCAGCAGCTGCGGCCCACCCCCGCTGCCCCCCCTGTGCTGGGCATTGTTTGCTGCTGCCTGCCTGCCTAGAGCTCATGCACTGGGCACCAGCAGCAAACACTGCCCAGGGGGGGTGGGGGGCAGCTGCTGCCACTGCACACAGCCCTGATGGGCGAGCCTAGAGCCGGCGTGGGGCCCAGGCTGGCAGCGGGGGTGGGTTACAAGCTGGTTCTGAGCGCAGGGGAGAAAAGCAGCCCCGCCCCTGTAGCTGGCGCCCCGTGCTGCAGCCGCTCATAGCCCGCATGGGGCTGCCTGTGCCTCCTCAGGACAGCCCCACACAGGCTGCGAGTGGCTGCAGGAGGGAGCTCTGGGAATGGGGCAGGGGAGGGGCTGCTCTTCCCCTGTGCTCCGGCATGGGGCTGTTTCCCCTTACCTGATATTCCAGGGTGGGGTCCCAGGCCAGAAGTACCGGCTGGGGGGAGGGGCTGGGTGGGCCCTGCTGTTGAAGGAGCCCTCCAGGGCTTCCCCTGGGTCCTACTGCCCTTGGTTCCTGTAATCTTTGACAGAAACCAGGGACAGATAAATTTTAATTTTCTAAATTTTTTTAGGGGCTCTGCGGGCCGTATTTTGCCCACCCCTATACTAGCCTATCCTTAAAGCCAATGTAGGACAAAACTGACCTTTTTGAGTTTTTTTTAATGTAGGTGAATTCTGTGGTGATGATAGTGGTGGTGGTAGTGGTGGTCTTTTAAAACTCTTCTACCAGTTTTGGTCTGCAAAGCTGTAAACATGCAAAGTGAGCTCTGTTCCTTGCATACTGAAGGGGCAGGTGACTGCAGAAGTTCATCTTAGTCACTACTGGATGCTAGGATTCCGTGGACCCTGTTTTTATTAATTTGTGCACTTGATAAAGTACATCAGACCCCAGCTGAGTTGTTTTTTTTTGCACGTGCCCTTGTGCACACTAGATAAAAGGTGCTGTTTACTAGGCCTATGTGAATAGGAAAGTGTTTGACTCTGATTCAGAGGACAGTGATGCAGTTCGGTAATTCGAATCACTGTCCCCATTCAATTAGGCCAAATCAGAATTGGGGATTTGGCACTGATTCGGATTAGCTGAGGAGAGGCAGGCACAGCTGGGCGGCTGCTCGTTCTCCCATGGCTCCTCCGGCTGTGCCTGCTTCTCCCCAGGCGGGGGAGCCGTGGGAGAAGCCCCCATGGCTGCCCTGCCTGGCCCCATGCCCTGCCCAGCCCCAGCCTCCCAGCACTTAGGGGGGGAAAAAAAAAACAACCCTGCACTCACTGGCTGCAGCAGCAATCAGGGCCTCTTGGGGCTCATGGCAGAGCCTCCCCCACACAGTGTGGGGCAGTGGGATCGCCCCCCTGCCTGGCAGCTGAGTGGCAGCTGCCCCATGGTGTGGGTGCAGCACAGCTTGGCAGGCCGTCGTGTGCTGTCTGGGTGCTGGGGCTGAGTGGTGCCGGGCTCCAGCTGACACTGCTGGAGCCAACCCAGTTCCCAACAGTGTGTGACGTCCTACCCAGCCACGCTGTACCTACGCTTTACAATTGCTGCTGTGTGGGTGCCAAGTTGGGGGGGGTGGGGGGCGATCCTCGCTGCCCCCTATTACCTTGTGCTGCGCATGGCGTGGGGGGGGTTCCTGCCATGAGCCCTCAGAGGCCCTGATTGCTGCTGCTGCAGCCGGTGAATGTGGCCCTTTTTTAAAGTGCTGGGAGGCTGGGGCCGGGCAGGGGATGGGGCTTCTCCCACAGCTCCAATAATATCTTCAAATACAATTTGCGGTTGGCCGCTGGCCCAGCTCTTAAGGACTAGGACTTGCACCTGGATCGAGCTATCAATTGGGCTAATAACCAACCCCGTCCAGGAGGTAGCCCTATGCAACAGGCCTTTAGATTGGGTGGTCCCCGCAAGCCAGCAGTAAAGCAACCTAAGGGTGGTGACCTGGGAAAGCTCCAGGCAGGAGATCAGGTGGTAATAAGCATCCTCAAAGAAATAAATAAAAGGGGACAGTATTGGCAAAAAGTGTGCATAACACATGGTAGGTATTTAAGTCAGATTCATCTAATAGGAGCCAAGCTCCTTGTTGTCTTGTTCCTACAAATTAAATCTGTCCACAAATGCAGCCATAACCATTTCTAATTAAGCCTACCACTAAAGACAAGTCCTGCTCTGTCACCTGTCTAAATCAGCTAGCACCATGAAGTGGTGGACTGTTATAACTGTATTCTTCTTACTAATGCCTTATTGTGTTTCTTAGGTAAGGCGTGTCTACTATCCTTCTTGTTACCCAAATATTCATAAACTTGCTCCTAAAGACCTAAAGGAGTGGCCTAACCATAAAAAAACATGCCCCCAAAACGCGCTCAGATGACCTTCATGTAGTCCAGCCGCAGTATCTAACACTTTTACAGGCTGGACACCTTCATGTCAGCCAGCCCTGATAGTCTACACCCCAGGGTACTCAGGGAGCTGGCTAGCATCATAGCCTAGCCCCTGGCATGGATCTTCGAGAACTCCTGGTGCTCTAGTGAAGTGCCCAAAGATTGGAAAAAGGCCAATGTGCCTATCTTCAAGAAAGGGAGGGAAGTGGATCTGGGAAACTACAGGTCCATCAGCCTGACCACTATCCCAGGGAAGGTTTTAGAAAAGATTATCAAAGAGGCCATTCTTAACAGACTGGTCGATGGCAACATCCTGAGGGATCGCCAGCACAGGTTTGTTGTGGGTAGGTCTTGCTTGACCAATCTTATTTCCTTTTATCACCTGAACAAGGGGGAAGAGATTGATGTTGTATATCTTGATTTTAAAAAACCTTCAATCACCTCTTGGCAAAACTGGCTAACTGCAGCCTCGGGTCTGCCACAATCCACTGTTTGGGGAATTGGCTCCGTGGTCAGACCCAGAGGGTGGTGGTTGACAGAAATCACTGGTCATGGTGCCCTGTGACCAGTGGGATCCCTCAAGAATCTGTCCTTGGACCTATTTTGTTCAACATCTTCATTAACGATGTAGACGTTGGTATCAGAAGTGGACTGGCCAAGTTCGCTGATGATACCAAACTTTGGGGTAAAGCATCCACACCTGAGGACAGGAGGGCGATCCAGGCAGATCTTGATGGGCTCATGAAATGGGCAGATGAGAACCTGATGGTGTTCAACACTGATAAATGCAAGGTTCTCCACTTTGTGAGGAAAAACCTGCAGCATGCTTATAGGCTCGGCAGTGATGCACTGGTTAGCACTACAGATGAAAGGGACTTGGGGGTCATGATTGACCACAAGATGAACACGAGCCTTCAATGTGATGCTGTGGCTAATAAAGTGAGCAAAATGTTGGCTTGCATCCATAGATGCTTCTCAAGCAAATCATGGGATGTCATTCTCCTGTTGTACTCGGCTTTTGTGAGGTCGCAGCTTGAGTACTGCGTCCAGTTTTGGGCTCCACAATTCAAAAAGGATGTGGAGAAGTTTGAGAGACTGCAGAGGAGAGCCATGCACATAATCAGAGGTCAGGAAAACAGACCTTATGATGAGAGGCTGAGAGTCATGGAACTCTTCAGCCTGGAAAAGCGCGGGCTCAGGGGTGATCTGGTGGCCACCTATAAGTTTATCAGGGGTGTTCATCCGGATCTGGGGGAATGTCTGTTCACCAGAGCGCCCCAACGGATGACAAGATCGAACAGTCACAAACTCCGCCGCGACCAATTCAGGTTGGATATAAGGAAGAACTTCCTTGCTGTCCAAGCCTCCAAGGTTTGGAATAACCCGCCACCGGAGGTGGTTCAAGCACCCAGTTTGAATGCCTTCAAGACGCATCTGGATGCTTATCTTCCTGGGATCCTATGATCCCTGCTGACTTCCTGCCCATGGGGCAGGGGACTGGACTCAACGATCCTCCGGGGTCCCTTCCAGCCCAAATGTCTATGAAATCTATGAAAATCCTAGTCTCCAAGTAAAAAAAAAAAACAAAAACAAAAAAACCTAAACCCCAAGATAATTAACTGGCAAAATGGTAACTGTCAGTACACCTGTGGCACCAGTTATTATCTTGAGTACATTCCCTATCTAAAGGCTAAAATGGCTAACTGTGGGAGGGGAGGTAATTGCTGTAGCTCTGCTCATTTATAAGCTTGTTGTTACATACTTCCTGAAAAAAAACAAACCCATTCAGCTCAACATCCCAGAGTCTGTGCCCCCAGTAGTGCATTCTGCATCTGTTTAGCCTCTTAAGCCACTGTGTTTAGAAAAGTCTACCCCTTCCCATTCCTGTGGCTGACAACACTCTCCAATGATGGTGTAAAGCCCACCAAGTGGAAGGGCGTGCTACAGGTTAAAACGAAGTTATTACATAGTTTATAAATTATACCTACACAGAGACATAGTACAATGCTAATTTACACTGTTCATGTGTCACCAAGTATCACCTCAACTACGTGGCTAACCATCTTAATGTCATAGTGCTCTGTATTACGCTAGTAGCAACAGCTAAATAGTGTTTTAACCGTTGTCATAAATTTGTTCATACTATGCAAGTTAAATTTAAAGATCCCTCCCCATTCCCTGATGTAGTACATATACCTTTAGCATCTCAACTGTAGCTCTCTCAGTGCTTCAGCAAGCAAGAGGTAAAGTGTGACAGCTGAAAACTGTCTAAGGTGCTTGCCGAATGCTGTGAAGATTAGACCAGGTGTTTCTTATCATTTGTTCATGTATTATAAGCTGTTTGTTGCTGCTAAGAGCCTAATTAAAGTGAAAGTAATGAGGCCTTGTATGTAGTAAGGCCTAGTAAATTTAGCAAAGCCTTGTAGAAGAAGTAGTAAGTTAAGCCTTATGGCGTAGTTAAAATTAATCTTTATCAGAAGAGTGCAAAGGCTTGTACTGCTATTGGTCAGTCCTAAGAAAAGCTTGCAGTAAGGAAATCTGTATGGCTGTAAGTTATCAGCATAGCTCAAAAATTATAAGTTAGCTGCACATCCAGAAATCATTTAAAAGGAAAACATAGCTCTATAAAAGAAGCTACTAATTTAAAATTAGCTGCTAACCTGGATTCATAGGCTAGTAAATCACAAGAAGCCCAAGGGCTATATACGAGGGTCCTTCCCAGTACCCCTCAGACAACGCTAATCAAGGATGCCTAACTTCACTAAGCTTTGCAACAACAAAAAAAAACTTGTCGTACATCAGGCGTCAAAGAGGACTGCCAATAAGTTGCCAACGCAAATTGTTATTGTCTGACCTTGTTGTTTTGTTACTACGCATAGTTGTGTGTTTATTAAGTCAATAAACCTTTCTTACCTTTCTACCCTCGACCACTCTCTCAATCCCAACCCCTCCGCTGGCGGCTGGGACACTCTGCCTGCCCAGGGAGAGGCAAGCACAGCTGGAGGAGCTGCAGGAGAACCTGCAGCCACCCGGCTGTGCCTGCCCCTCCTGGGCTGATCCGAATCTCTCTGAATCTATTTGGAGGCTTTGGATTTGATTTGGACCTTTTAATGGGTCTTCCGATTCGATTTGGATTAGGCTGCTGAATCGGGCCAAATCTCCGAATCGAATTGGCGACTGAAACTTCGCACAGCTCTACTGTCTACCATATTTTCAATTTTGGTAAAAGTGATTAAAACCAAGACATTACTCTACTTCACCGAGCATGCCATCTTCACACCACTTCTCCATGCTAGACCAAATTCCAGTATTTTGCATTCATTTTGTTAAAGTTAGAGCTCTTGTTCAAGAGAGAAAAGCTTATAAGGATCCTTTTCAGTATGGGGAAAATACATTTTTTTCCCCTTTCTCAGTCAATAATCACTGGATGGTTTTGCTAAAATTTGAGGAGAGCAGGAATTCTTGCCCCAAAAGAGACCAACTGTAAAACAAGAAAAGCAACAGCGGAGAACCTGTAAATAAAAGTTTCAGTTAATGATGAGCAATTGAAAGTGAATTTAGAATGGGAATGTTTAGATAATGAGTTTAACTAACTATTATTGAAAATGCTGTAGATTACCTTAGAGATGCTGAGATTAAGGAAATTCTTAAATATTTGAGAGGTTCTGTAAAGTTCAAATGCTAATGACACACGGCTACAAATGAGGTAAAAAGAACACTGTTGGCACAGTGTTGTGTAAAGTTCACTCTACTAGGCCTTCCATATATAGTAGGAAGAGTGGTGCTTGTTTGTATATAATTTTAATCAGATTTATAATCATTATTTCATTTAAATTTATTTCTATTAGCCTCTGAGTAGATTCTTAAATGTTGTTTAATCTGGAGACACTATTTAATAAGATAAACTTCATTTGAGACTTCATAATTCTCTGCCTTTTCAAAGGTTTTGTTGCAAGAGAGCTTTTTTGCTTGCATGTGTTCTCTAGTAACTTTTTTAAGAGATTATTTTCTGTCAAATACTTTAGTCTATTGCTTTGTAGTACCATGCATTTTGATAATATCTGAAAAGAAAGATTGCTGCTCTTGTGTCCCTGTACTTTTTAATCCTGGTTCTAAGCGAAATCTCACTTTTTTTAAAATTCTAAAAACTTGGAAAAAGCAAGCGGTAGGTAGCAGACTTCCCTTTTCTAAATAGCTATGCAGCCAAGAAGGCTGTCGGTTGCTTTCTAAATTCAAGAAGATGAGGAGTTCATTTACGTTTACAGTCTGCTGATTTGACAACGTGTGTGATGGTTGAATAGGCAGTGCCACTGTTTCTCTTTATATTATTAAAAAGAAGTTCTGTTACATTTAAATTAACTTTTTTATACACAGTAACTGGTACCAAGATGCATCCCCCTCAGACAAGAATGAAATCAAAACCCTGTGTAAAGTGCAGTAGTTTGGAGCTTTTATGTGGCATTGTACAAAGTGCACTTTGTGTACTGAAAGAGTGCTTGGATATGTGTGGGGATGCTGCTTCGATGCACTGTAATTATAGAATGCCCGATTTAATCGAGTCTGCTGGAGCATACTAACTAGTGCGCTTCAGCAGCCTCTGCGTTTCATGTGTTCAGTGTCCCTGTGCTTCAAAATGGCAGCGGGGGCACTTTAACTAAGGCCTGTTCAGTGAGGTTTTAGTTAAAGTGCCCCCACTGCCATTTTGAAGAGTAGGAAAGTTGAATATATTAGATGCTGCAGGTGCTTTAATTAGAGTAGCTTCAAGCAACTGTCCCCATCGCGCTTCTGGAGCACACCCAGGGTTTGTCCTTTGAAACCAATATGCTTCCTATGTATATTTGGTCTTGTCTGACTTAATTAACAAAAATGAGCTTTAACCATGTTCTTCTGCTTATTAGCTCAGCAGAATTGAGCTAATCTTATCAACAGACTTGTTTTCAAGGTTTCAGTGGAGAATAAAATCAGTTCTGGCTCACTCGGCTCATTTTCTTGGAACTGCAGATATCCATTTGAAGAAATAACTTTGCCTACATAACCTGCCAGATGATGACAGGACTTGGATTTAGACTGGTGCCTCTGGTGGCATGTTGTCCTGGAACCTCTTCCAACCTGTTATGTTGGGCTCCAGAATCTCCACTTTTTTTTGTTAAGATCTCTAATTGTCATGATTATGAAGAAAATCTTCAAAATATGAGCAATATAGCAATGTCTGGCTGAGTATGGAACAGTAACTTAGAAGTGCTTCATCTGTCTTAGTGAGATTTAACTCGGGTACCCAATGATGATGGGCACCTATGCACATGCCCAACACCTGCTCCAATGCATTCTAATTAGAATGCATGGAAGCAGACTCTATTTAATCTAATTAATTTATTGATTGATTAATCTAAGTCTAACTAAAATGCTCCAGCAGCCTCTGCATTGAATGTATTCAGAATCCCCACATTTCAAAATGGTGGCAGGGGTGCTTTAGTTAAAGCACCCCTTTTGCCATTTTGAAGCACAGATGCACCGAATACATGAGACGCTGTGGGCATTTTAACTGAAGAGGCTCTCAAGAGTACATGTAAAGATGCCTGGTAATTTTAAATGTCAACCTTATTAATATTTGAATGATCATGAAATTATGCAGTGAAGGAAAAATGGGATCCACAGACCTTCACAGCAAACTAATTCATTTCATTCTGGCACTGAGTTTGTAGTATTTGGTGGAGATACCACTGTTTCTGTTCCTTCTCTCCAATCTCACTGCATGCACTGGTGTACATGCCAAAATGAGGAACTAAATTAGGGACATTTACAGGGGCATCTTGACCCAGCAAAAAGAAACTAACCCCAGATTGTCCAACAGAGCCACTTTATCTTAAAACCCCCCAGTGACAGAGTCAAGCTGAAGGAACTTAGTGGAGCTCAGTATGTATTTAATAGATTTGAACAGCTGCATTAGCTGTGTGAATGGTATTTATTTTTTTTAAACTAACCTGTGCTGCTTGAAAAGGCAACCAATACCTGTTTCTGTCCAAGTTCAAGCTTTTGGAGGTGGTGCGTAAAAGGTTGGGGGAGAAAGATACAGTTTGGATCTCGAGTCCCAAGACTGACGGCATGTTTGGCGATTGGAGAAAATATTTCACAGGCAAACTGAGTGTTGCATTTGAGATTAGAAATCATTCACTTAAAACAGTTGCTTTTCAGAGCAGGCTTACATTTTAAGCTAAGGGGGTCTATAAGTATCAGGTAGCACACTGTATTTGTATGTGGCTTGCCTTCTAGGCACTGGTTCCAAATACTTTAGATTCTGCAGCTCCCTGTAGTTAGTGTGGTGGTGATGATGGTGTTAGCAGGTGCTGCACCTGGGAAGTTTCTTAACTCTGTAGTATGTACTGCTTCCTGTTCAGGAGGTAGCATTTTCAGATCAGCATGGCATCTGAGTACAATGCTGCCCAATGGCACAGGAATATTCAGGGATTTGGTTCTAGGTGCCAGCCTGAACTTTTTCCCTCTCCATAATGGGCTGTGCGTCTCTGCTTAAGAGACCTGCTGTTCCTTAAATAGATTCATTTTTCAAGAATTTATTTGATAATCTCTACTTTGAGTCTCTACATGGGACATATGAAAAATATGGTACTTGTATATGAGCCAAATTTAGGTTTTCCTCTTCCAGTGATTATTGTAAATAATGAATTAGCCAGCTGATTGTACCTAGGATATCATGCATTAAAACAATATAATATATTTAACAGAAATTAAAGAAGCACATAAAAGGAAAAAAATAATGAAAGAACGTTTCAAGCAGGAGGAGAATATTGCTAGTGCTATGGTGATTTGGATCAATGAAATATTACCTAACTGGGAAGGCATGTAAGTAAACAGTTTTGTTTTGTAAAGCTGACTCAAAAGTAACTTGTTTTTTCCCTCTTGGCTCACAGAAGAGCCACAATCTCATTTGCCCTCTTTTTCCCTACTCTTGGCCACAGATTGGATAGATCCTCCTTGCCAAAGAAAGTTATAACTCATTGCTGATGCATCTGATATGATGAGAAGTCATTAGAGAGAAATATGAGAGATTTCTTGGAGGTGTTTTAATGTCATTTTTCATTGTGGTCTCGGCCCTTGTAAATCCAAAAACAAATGTTTTTCATTTTGACCTGAGTTGTGTTGTTACCTCTAAACTGCCCAGTATGCAAAGGAAACAAGATAGCTGACTTCTCTAATGCCCTTCTGTCTTTGTCCTTTGCCCAGGCGTTCTACCCGAAGAGTTCGAGAGCTGTGGTGGCAAGGCTTGCCCCCAAGTGTTCGTGGGAAAGTTTGGAGTCTAGCTGTGGGAAATGAATTGAATATCACTCCTGGTATGTATATCTTTTCATACTTTTTATGCAGAATTCCTTTACTTGATGTATTCAAACTAGAACAGCTCCCCTTCTGATAAGGTGTTGTTCTGTGATGCTGATCAGGTAATTCAGAGTTCCTGTACTTTGCTGTAGATTATGTTAGTCTATTTGAATTTGTATTTTTTTTTAAACAGATCGCTAGACTGAATTTTAGTATGAAGAAAAGTTGTATCCAAAGAAAACCAAACAAATCTTTAGTATATGTTCAGTTTTTACAGGTATATTATTTCAGGGCTTTACAAGCAGTTTGAGCCATGAGAAAAAAAAATCCTCATTCTAAATATTTTCTTATACCTATTAATGCATACATAAAATTATACAATCTTTTTACACTTCAGTATTAAAGTATACTCTCCCCATATATGTAAGAAAGCACAACTCAGTTGTGTTTAGATTAAAATCTGAGGTGAGATCTAGAGGTTTCTAAATTCATTGCATTTCATGGGAAAACACTTGGGTAATGACTAGGAACCTACCAAAATCATGACAGAAGTGTGCTGCATGGCAGCTTCTTTAACTGTGCAGTTTCTCCTGTGCGCTCCCTCTCCCAATTTGGTGGAGGGGCCCCACCACTGGCTGCTCACACCCGATCATCAGGGAGGCAAGAACTGTGGTTTAAGATATGGCACCGTTTTTGTTTCCTACTGCTGACTGGCCCAGGGGCCGTGGTGACCCTGCTGCTTGGTGCTGACTAGCTGTGAGGCAAAAACTACCCCATACTTAAAGCTGAGGTTTTTTGCCCCCTACCTGCTGATCAGGAGCAAAAGGTGAGGCCCCTCTGCCAATCAGCTGGGGGTGGGGGAAGGGGCTGGCAGAGGAGGGGCTCTCCTGGGAAACTTCAAGATTAAAGGAGCTACCGCACAGTGCGCTTCTGCTGTGATTTTGGTAGGTCCCTAGTAATGACTCTTTGAATAACTGATTCTAATGTACCCACATTTCTTCCAGCTTATTGAGAAAAGGGGGAAAACATTTTAAAATGTATTAGTCTTGGTTTTTATACATGCAGTATACTAGAGGCATAACTAGTAAGGTGTGTGCCCTGGGCCACATTTTGCCTATAACATCCTGCTTTTGCAAAACAACAGCTTGGGGGTTCATGCAGCAGCTGCTGGGTGCAGGGACCCTCTTGCATCTTCCTATTGCAGCTGCTGCTGCAACTCACCCCTGCCCAGATTGCACCCATTTGTTGTTGCTGGTAACAATCAGCAGTGATGATTTCAAGGGTGAGAAAAGTGGCTGCTAAAGTGGGGGCACAGCTAGAAGGTCCCTATGCCTGGCAGCTGCTGCATTAACTCCCTAGCTGCTGGTCAAGTCAGCACCTCCCCCTCGAGTAGTGGCTATTCCCAATATCAGACTGCTGTTGGCAAAAATGGAGCCCTACCCCATCTCCCCATGGCCAGAGCCCACTGCCATCAGGCCTGCCTGAAGTGCTGCTGATTGTTGCTGGTGGCAATGGGCAATGCTGGTTTTGGTGGCAAGAAAAGTGCAGACTCCCCAGGGAGCCTTCATTCTACTGCTCCCTCTAAGTTGGTGTCTGGGACTTAGTCTTCTGTCACCTATCCTTGGTTAAACTTACTGCAGTACTTGTGCCAGAACTCTGTGTGTGCTATGTGTAGTAGGAATAGCAAGTGAAATTTTAGTGATAAGATCGTACGTGCAAGATAGCAAAACTGTATTTGTAAGTTTCATTATGGTGCAGCTTGGGCTGCATTTCTTTGCTGTGATATTTTGCAGAACTATATGAAATCTTCTTATCCAGAGCAAAGGAACGATGGAAAAGCTTCAGTGAGACAAGTTCAGAGAATGATATAGAAGGTGTGTTCTTATATTGATACAAAAGATTAATTGCAGTTTCATATAATTTGTGCTGATAAACAAACGTGTAAAGACTTAAAAGATCAATTCAGATAAATGTTTCTACCTTCAAATTTTGTGTGCTTCAGGCCTGCTCTTTCTTTAAAACTTTGGTTTTTTATAGCAGGTCACTGAATAGATAGTTAATAGCACTTTTAATTTGAGGGATACCTGCAGAAAACCTTTTCATGTTAAAATATGAAATTCATTAAAAAATGAATTAATTTCCAAATTAGCATTTTCTTGGAGTTTTTGAAACTTCAGACCATGGGATACCACAACTTAAAAACAAACAAAAACCTAGTAGGTAATGTACAAAAAGGGAGATCCAGAAAGATATGCATTGTAGTATCATCATGGTGGTTGATGAGCCTTATTTGTATAGCCTTCATAACCTAAGTGTTTTGAAGACATAAATGAATTGTGCCCTGGGAGAGGAAAAGGGTATTCTTTTGTTTTTACTGAAAGAAGTGGAGGACTGAGATGGAAAACATACCCACAAGACCAGTAGTCTTAAATCTGTAAAATGGGAATAGTAGCACTCGTTACATAAAACTGTCTCATTTGAAATCCTGTGTTTTTGCTGGTTTTGCTTTTTATATCACTGACACCAATTTCTATAGTTACTTGTGGCAGAGACGTGTAACTTTTATGTTTGGAAATATCTTTGTCATAAATATTCATTTGTGCTGTTGGAATTATAAAATTATTATAGCAAGGACAATAGTGTCTCAGTTCTAATTTTATACTGTAAAGTGTTCTAACATTTTAGAAGTTAAAATTTTTTTTTTGTCATAATAGTTTAATTTTTGAGCTGGTGTGTTTTGGAAAAACACATTAGTTAATCTTTCTTAAAGTTGATTTCAGTAAGTTACTTGAGATTTCTCAATCCACATCTGTGAGTTATCTAAGACAAACTCTTTTTTTTTTTTTTTCTCAAATGTATGTATGAACATGAGACTAAGCCAGTTTTTTCTTTTTTTTGGCATATGTATTTTATGTCTTTGATATCTGCGTGTGCATCGCCTGAATAATATTTACTATAGTAAAAGAAAATACTTTTCAAGCAGAATACTTAGTAACTTATTCTAGGACTCTGAAAGAGGAAGAGAAATTACTAGCTCCATTTTATTGTGTACATTTTGCTTTTCTTGCGCTTGTCCAGGGAAGACTTCAACAAATGGCTGTGAAGTATCTGTCAGTGTTCCCTTTTTTTTTATATCTTCAAGAGCAGGCAGATCCCCTGTGTTAGGTCAAAATTTTCTGTAGGAAGCTCAGAAAATACCAGAGGTTTGTTTTTTGTTTTCTATTTATGTTAATATATTTGGTTTATCCCTAATTTACTGAAAAAATCATCCTTTCAGAGGATTTTCTAGAAAGCTATGCCCAAGTATTTTCAAGTTATGTATATGTGCATGTTTTTCATGCCCGCATATCTGATGCTTCCAGTGTCTATCCAGTACTTATTTTTATGAAATAGAATATAACAGTGAATACCCATGTTGTGTCAAGCTAGTGCATACAAGTAAATTTTATACAAACATTTTAATAAGAGAGAATTTAAATTCTAAATGACTTTTTGTAGGTCAGTAAGGCTTTTGTTTTCTTTCCTTTTAATGCTGTTAACTTGGAATAAATTACAGTAAGATTAGTTCTTCGTAGAGTTAATTGTCCATATACCTAGTCCCATTTGGGCATGTCTCATGACCCTAAACGTTGACCCCTTAGCACTATCTATAGTGCTTCAGCCCTGCCTCTGCTGCACTGAAGGTCAGTGCACGCTTTATATTCTTTAGTTCCTCTTAGCTGGAGCATTTCTTCATCAGTCTGCTTTGTGGTCTGTGTGCTACTCAACCCATGTAATTCTTCCTTTTATTGTTGATTTCATTGCCTTATAGTTTTGTTCTTTATTAGTTACCTTTTAGTTATCCCTTCTTTCCTTAACGTTTTTCAGAGTGCATGGAGGTTTCAAACTCCAGGTTAGTATCCTTGGGTGCCTATACACATGCATCGGGGCTGTTCGGACATTATAGCGCGTCAGAGCAGACTTGTTTAATTGAGTCTGCTGGAGTGTAGTAATTTCCACACTTCAGCAGACTCCAGCATCACGTGCATTAGTGTCTCCACACTGAAAAATGGCGGTGGGTGTGCTTTATCTACAGTTCATTCAGGCTTTAGTTAAAGTGCCCCCGCTGCCATTAGTTACAGTGCACAAGACACTCTGGGCGCCTTAATTAGTGGCTCCTGGAGTTGCTTGAATTAAAGCACTCCACCTTCCCAAACCCTCTGCCTCATCCCATGTATAAATCCCCCTTGTTCCCACCATTGTTGTTACTTTTAGCTTCATTGCAGTGTTGCCATTTTGGGGTTCACGTCTTAGCTTTTCTGTTTTAATGTCTGCCTTGTTTCTTTTTAGAGGCTAATTATCACCATTTTCATAGAGGCACAATTTCCTGATTTCACTGTATGGTGACCTAGCCACCAAAATCACAATCTCCCAGATTTTGCAGCTGAGAGAGACTGCTTGAAGCAGGAGAGGCAATGTTTAGAAGTGAGTCTTGCATCTTGGAGATGGAACCTAGGCAATTCTACAACTCCTCCATGGCTCTTTGTTTCTGTAGCTGAGATCTACAGGTGCAATGGTCTTGGCTCAAAGACTAAGAGGTTCTCAAGCTGTATAAAACTTACAAGATTATCAAGATGAAGCCATCTTTTGTGATTCAGGCCCACCCCACCAGAGTTGTGGCAGTTTCCATAGCCTGCTTGTGCAACTGTCTTAGCGATCACTGTAAAGCAACTGAAAACTTGGAAGATCAATATGTAGCTTTTATTAACTGCCATGCCATTGCAGAAGCCTCAGAGCAAGATACCATATTTGGCAGATATTTCACTGTTTACCTAGGGGACTTTGGGACCTGGCTCAGATATGTGCTTGTGTGTGGCTGCTGCTTTGGAGTTGTCCACAAGTAGTAATATGAAGTAAAATGCAGTTACTACCCAGTAACTGGAGTTCAAGACATGTTCTTCAGTCTCCTTCTTCTCTCCTCTGCCCCTCCATTACTCTTTCTGCTCCCCCCCCCTCCCATATCCCACTCTCTCCTTTTCTTTGAAGTCAGTGTGTGGGACTGTAGTAGAAAACTGAGGAGCAGGCATTGTATACCACCCATTATGCCTTCAGTGTGGCATGCACAGGCAAAATGGCTCTAGTTAAAGCTCAGGGGCTTTGCCCCACAAATGAGAATATGTATGTGGACAGGACATCTTGTACTCCAGTTACTTGTAACTCCATTTTTCCATTCTACTTGATTTATTTCAAACTTACTTGCTCCTGTCATTTCTTGGCAAACCTGTTTCTTACACTTCTCTTTAAAAAGATTAACATCAATTCATCAGGGCATTAAATGGCAGAGTGTTTGGCAGAATGCTGGTGGTTGCTAGCTGGCAGTTCCTGAATTACTAATGTGAGAGTTGTTAATTCTGGTTTTCTGTCATGATGCTGCCTACAGAGTCCCATTGTAGGAGTCTTGTGTGTTTAGCCATGTGGCCATGGAACAAATGCTGGCAGTTAGAGCTCCAGGAAGTAGGCTTGTGTCCACTGTTTTATAGAGCCAGGTTATAAATATTCTGCCTCTTCCAGATCGCTCTTCACCAACTTCCTTTTTTCCAATGTGTGAATAAAAACTGTAATTGTGAATGGATGCAAATGCCATATTTACCTAAATCAAAGACAACCCTGAATTTAAGCTGACCCCTTAATCATTGGATTCTACACATGGAAACAATTATAAATTTGTTATAATTTTCCATGTATAGAATTCAGTTATTGTGGGGTTGTCTTAAATTCATCCCACCTACTGCCGTAGTGGGGAAAGCAGTGGTAAGGGAGTATGCATGGGGAGGGGGTATTAAGCAGCTTGCCACTCATCCATCCCTTACTGCCTTTGCCTTCTTTCCCCCTCTACCCCCCACCCCTGCAGCTTCTTGAGCCTGCCTCCATGTACCAGACTGGCTCAGGGACAGAGTGCCAGAGTGGAACAAGCATAAGTTGGGAGGGAAGGGGACAGAGGCTGTGAGAGGAAGGGGAAGACAGGGGCAGGAAGCCCAAGATTGCTGGGGAGGCAGGCCACAGCTGCGACTTTGGCCCTGAGCCCAGGCTGGGGCTGGAACTGCAGCAGCTGCCTGCTGCCTACACCACCTCGTGTTCAAATCCAAGGAATGTTTTTTCCCCAGTGTTACTTATGGGGAGGGGGTTTCCTCTTGGATTCAGGTAAATGCAGTAAGTCAATTGCTCAAATTTAGGCTAAGAAGTGTTTCTTTAGTTTTTAAAAATATGGGCCTCGTAGTATTACGTAGTCTTGAGTTTTCCCCAAAATTGACCAAAACAAGATACTTGAGTCACTTAAATAAGGTTATGCCTGCATTCTGGTAGATGTAGACAGGAAGCGGGGAGTTAAGAGCCAGAGAGGAGGTGGCAAGAAGGGAGATGACCAAAGTGGAATAGATTTGGGGGTGGAGAACAAACATGACTCACTGGCAGTCAGGGTGTGGAGAAGGGAGTAAGAGGCATCCTTTAAACTGTAAGCATTGTATAGTGTGGAAATCAAGACAGCAGGAATTACCATAGTTAATCTTACTGTTCCTTGTTTCCTGTTGACCTGATGTAACTTGGAATTTGGATGAATTTCAAATGAATGTCTAGCAGGTAGAACCCTATTGGTTGGTTTTTTATTTTGGTTTTGTTTTGTTTTTTGGTAAGGCCAAGCTGCTAATTAATTGTTGTGAATATGTAGGATCTGGATACAGGGACAAAGCATTGTCCGTCAGGTTTGGGGATATAAAGACAGAATTTCTGGAGAGACTCCTGCCTCCTTTTTCTAATGGAGAAACTGTGGGCCTGATTTTAGTGGAAATCAGCATCCTGGATGTCCCTTTCTTCTCTATATCCTTGCTGTTTCCTTTGCCCAGCCATACCTCTAGGCCTCATACTGCTGCAGCTAGCCTCTTTTCGCCTCCCAGCTGGCACACTAAATCTGGTTATATCTTCAAGTTTTGATGGTGGATGTTGTGTGTGTGTGTGTGTATGCTACCTGCCAACTGTTATTCAGAAAGTTTCCAGTTTTGTGTATCCCAAACCCATAGCTCTCACTGCGTGGCTTTGTAGGAGTACAGTTTTGAAGAACAAGAATTAAAGATTCCCCACTTCTGCACTATGGCAACTCCTTGACATGACTGCATGTGACTTGATCTTGTCTTACATCTGTAAAGTACCTAGCTTCATAAATGTATGTTTGTTTGTTTGTCTGCAGATGCAGGGGCATCTGCTGCTGATCGTGAGGCCAGCCTGGAACTAATTAAGTTGGATATATCCCGAACATTTCCATCTCTCTATATTTTTCAGAAGGTAAGGTGTTTTAAAATCAGTTTTTTGAACATGCTCAATAATATTAAATAAACAAAATGTGATCAATCCTGCGCCTGACCGTTCACAAACAAATAAGACTGTAAAACTAAGCAGCAAGAATATAAACATTCATTGGCCCCTTTTCACAGCAATGTTTGCATCTGCTACATCTTTTTCAGCAAGAGAATAAACAGTCTGACATTCATTTCGATCAAATAATGAAATTGTACTGCCTAATAATTTACATGAAAAGAAATTATTTCTTTCTTTGATAAATATATGCAGCTCTTGTTGATGTGCGTCAAGCTGCTTGTTTGCAGCAAAGGGGGGGATGAACTCAAACTGCTTCTGTGAAGTTGTCAAACATAGGTAATTCTTACAAATTTTGTATTTTGGTGCAATACAGGCTATATAAATAGTCATGAAATCACAACCACAGCGTGTTTATTTTAGCAGTTAATTTTTCTGAATTCATATTCTATCCTGCATGGTCTGAGACAGAGCCTGTAGTACCCTTTAAATAAGGTACGTTTGCACCATGTTTATTTTGCTTTCTAGAGCCGCAGCTTCTATGTATATACAATATACATAATAATCATAGTATTTTATGTTTCTTACTAGATTATTGGCTTGTAAATATTTGGAGGCGGGGGGGAGTTTATATAAATTTAGATTCTAAAACGCATTTCAGGAAATTCAGAAATAAACATACCTTGAGTCTTGACACAATGATTTGATTTGATTTGCTTAATTTAGATAGAATAACACTTTTCCAGAGTCCTCAGTTTATCTGTTCCTTTTAAAGGGAGGTCCATATCATGATCTCCTGCATAGTGTCTTGGGAGCATATACATGTTACAGACCTGATGTGGGATATGTAAGTATTTGTTTTGTACATTAACATATTTTACCATGGTATAGCTACTAAAATTGAAGCATATTAGAGCTTTTCCTTTTCTAAACTTTAAATTATGCTACCAGCACTTCTTTAAAAAAAAAAAAAATATATAATTTTATATATATAAAAAAATAAATAAATAAATATTACCGACTTACATTCACAGTCATTTTTATGGTAATAACTCTAGGCCTTCTGGTTCGCAAATGTCCCTGCAAACATTCTTGTTAATGGAACTTTGTTGAAACTGACATGTTTCCATATGAATACTTCATTTACAACTAACTTTTCCCAACAGAATTTCTAATTTATCAGAAAACTTCAAACCGGCTCTTCCCCACCCTTAAATCTGTCTGTGCATCCTTTTTTTTCCACCATCATATCATATTCCACCATCATATTCTTTTTTTTTTTTTCTTCCGCCCCCATGTTACCTCAGCTTTGAGATGCCTCCAGTATCACAATCCCGCTGGGTGCAAGTTAGCCCAATACTTGAATTTAAATGATAACCACAACAGCCCAATGTCTCTAGTTTTCACAAAAAATCAATGGGTATCTTAATGTCTAAAAAGTCAATTTTGGGATTGACTGAAAAAATTTGCAGGCATTACAATTTCTACTAGGTTTTCAAGAAAACCATTTTTTTTTACAGTATAAAAAGTTGTCCTTTCCCCGAAGATGGATGTTACAGGAGCTATCCATGTCTGAATCACCTCAAGACTAAATTACGTGATGACTAAGAGTTTGGACATATGAACAACTTGTTGTGTTACAGTTGTCCATCACCTGCTCCATGGGAACTGCGTATATGCATGCTCTTACACTGCAGTAAGTGCAAGTAAAAGGCAGTAGTTTTGTCTTCAGTGAAAGCCATGGAAGGAAATCATGAGCAGGGATCCGGGTTTTTCGTTTCCCACAGAAAAACAGAGAAAACCACGGATTTCCCCGCATTTATCAAAGGAAACATGGATTTTTCCTTTTAGCAGAAATACCTGTGCATTTCCCACTTTTGCAGAGAGCTCTGCAGGCTGGCATAGTTCCAGCCTGCAAGAGTTTTTTTGCAAAAATGGCAGCAAACTCCCAACCCTGTCTGGAGGAGGAGGGAGAGGAGGGAAGGGTAGGGCTTGAAACTGTCAGCCAAGGCTTGGCTCAGACCCACTGTTCTTCCTGGAGCCTGTAAAGTAATTGGGGCTTGCAGGGGGTTGGAGGCCCTCTCTGGCACGGCTGGGGGGTTGTGGGTCATAGATGGGGGGCACTGGCAGGGCAGAGGGTGGGGCCTGGTGTGGGTGGGGGTGACAGCCAGAGCTGGGGGATGGGGTTGGGGGCTGTGGGACAAGGCTGTGGGGCAGTGGGACAAGGCAGGTGGGGGGCAGGGCATAAGGCTGATACTGTGCAGCTCCTGGTCTACGTGCCGCAGGTCAGATCGAGTGGGCTTCATGCCTCCATGTGCAGCTTCCTGCAGGAGTGCAAAAGCCCCACAAGGAGGCATGCAGCTTGCTTGGGCCAGTAGCATGCAGCTCCTGGACCCCATGCTGCAGGGTGGGCTGGGCAGGCTCCACACCTCTGTGCACAGCTTCCTGCACATGGATGTGGAGCCCACTCAGGCCAATAGTGTGCAGCTCCCATACCCACCCCCTCTTCCCGCATACAGATTTTCACTTACCTACAAACCCCATACTCTCATGCCCACACCCCCACATACTGTGAATCCACCTCCAACACCTTCACAGATCTCCCCCGACACACACCCCACGCCAACCCCCCCATCCATACAAAGTACCTGTATATATTTCTAAAGATGGTTCAAATAGTATTGTATTTATTTTAATTTGTGGGGCAAAAAAAATGCATAATTTTGAGCTTTTCTGCAAATTATTTTGAATTTTTCTGCACATAATTCCCTGGGTTGTACAGAGTGATCTTGGCTGTGGCCACAGCCCCCACCCTGCCCCTCCTGCCCTCCCACAGGACTGCGTAGAGACTTCTTCACAGCCCCTGCACAGATCCTAGGAGCCTGCCTGCCCCCCTCCTTCTCCACCTCCTACATGCTACAACTGCATAGAGTGTTAAGCAGGCTTTGGAAGTGGGCATTTGGAACTAGTTGACCGTAAATGGTTGTAAGAATGAGAGTCCACTAAGAAAGCAGTAGTATTTATTTACAGCTGTTTATGTACATTTAACTCCATTCTCTGTTAAGCATATAGACTAAAGGAGTGAAAGAGAAAAAAAGTGTGATAGAAATTGCAGGATTTACGATAGAGCAGCCACAGTTGGACCCACACAGCTGTGGGGACGGCCACAGTTGGACATGCATCCTGGTGCATGGTGGGAGCTGCTGCCGGGAAGGGAGTGAGTGAGGGGTGCTGGCAGGGGTAGGGGGTGGGGAGGGGAAGCTGTGGCTAGGGAGTGAAGGGCAATGGCATATCTGGACTGCTCAGCACCACACAGGAGTGTGGGGGGTAACCACAGCTGGACCTGTGTCCTGGTACGTGAGGGGACAGCAAAAGCTCACTTTTCCATGATGGAAAAACATGGAATCGAATATGAAAATTTATTACGTATTTAGAATTTATTCTGTTAGTGATTGAAGAACTAGTAGGCTTCCAAATTGCTCTAACACGGTAAATATATCAATAAAACATTGTGTTCAGCTGATACCCATACAGTTGGCATACCCCTATACATAGCAGCCTTCCAATTTAATCACAGATCTTGGGTTTTAATTAAGGAATTTGCTCTTTTTTATCAGGGAAATCCAGGATCCCTGATCATGAGAGAGAGAGAGAGAGAAGGAAAATAAAGGAAATGAAAACATCTGTGGAATGCAGCCTAATATCTACTTAATAAATCAGAAGTTCATGCTTTCCTCGGTTTTCTAACAGTCATTTGAAATCTAGAATCTCAAGTATGTCATCTCAAGTGTGCAGCTCCCGGTCCACGTGCCGCAGGCTGTACCGAGTGGGCTTGAGAGTATTTCTGACTCTTATGCAGGGAGTGTCTCTTTATTAAGAGCAAATGCTAAGGGTAAAGACATAGGCAGACAAGGTTCCTTGGGTGAAGACAGGCATTGCATTTTAGTGGGACATGCCTTTCTCCTTCTAGAAGCTGGGAGTGTACAGATATTTGTCCAGCTTCTCCCACAGAAAACATTTCATATTCAGAAGAAAGATGTTCCTCTTTCAACAGGGAAGATCTTGTCTGAATTCCTTGAGCAGGAATTTAGGTTGTAGCCGTGTCCGTCTATGGACATAGGCAGACAATGTTCTTTAGGTAAATCTGATTACTGTATTTTCGTGCATATAGCCCACCCACGGGTATAAGGCGCACCCACGTATAACTCATGGAAAATTGTGTTTTTATAAATTAATCTGTGTATATGCTGCACCCATGTATTCCCCGCGGCGGTGTATACACGGGGAGGCGGCGCAGCCCGGCCTGCCCCGGCCCCCGCGGCGGCGCAGCCCGGCCTGTCTGGGCCCTGCGGGGGAAAAATGTCCATCGATAGCCTGCACCCATCCACTTTTTTTGTAAAATCATGTATACCCCGTGGGGTATAGGTGCGAAAATACGATATCTTTTATTAGACCAACTCAAATAATTGGAAAAATTCTTCTTAGCAAGGTTTCGGGCACAAACACTGTTTGTTAGGCTGAGGCAGCACTTGCAGATGCACACCGAAAATCTATCAGAGAC